GTCTTATACGTACGGGATTTTAAATGCCATGTGCAAGTCGCGGACCGGTGTGCGCCTTGGAAAATTGCCAATGGTGCGGAGAACCTTGTTTTGCAGGCGCTGCAATTTCTCTAGATGAGTGTCTGCCGCGAATTCCCAGGCGGGACTAGCATAAGTCATTGCGGATCTAATGAGAGCTTTATGGAAGGTCATTTTAATGTTAGCGCTCAATCTCTCACGTTTGAATAGGGAATATACCCTAATGAATGTTCTGAAAGCCTTGGCTTCGATCATTTCTATGTGCAATCTCCATGTAACTCTCTTATCGAAGATTACACCTAGATAGTTTGCACTATTTACAAATGGAATATTTCGTCCATTTAGAGTGAGACAAGACTCAGGCGGCCGACGACTACGAGAGAAGTAGACCCCCTTGGTCTTATCTTCATTAATTTTAATATTCCAGCGCTCACACCAGGTCTCCATTGAGCTGAGACCGCGTTGGAGTTTTCTAACAATAAAACCCTCCTTGCGATCTGTCGCATACAGACAGGTGTCGTCCGCAAAGAGGGCCATGTGAACACCATGTGTTTGGGGGGCATCATTTGTGTACAAATTGAGAAGGGTAGGGGAAAGGACAGAACCTTGTGGCACCCCTGCTTGCATTTCCCTTGGGGTTGACATTTGGCCTTCAACCGAAACCCTGAATTTACGTTGAAAAAGAAAGAACCCAATAAGTTTGGTCAAACTGTTCAAGAATTCCAATTTTGATAATTTATACAGCAAGCCTGAATGCCACGTGGTATCAAAGGTTTTTTCGATGTCCAAGAACACTGCGGCCGTAGACAATTTGTTGTTGAAATTAAGGGTCATATGCTACAAGCCGGAAGGTCGCGGGTTCAAGTCCCGATGAGGTCAATGGATTTTTTCCAATTGACCTAATCCTTCCGGCCGCACTAGGCTCTGGGGTTTACTCAGCCTCTAACAGAAATGAGTACCAGGAATTAATTAAATAATTTTCCTGGGGAGTGAAGCGCGGCCGGCGCGTAAGGCTGACAAACTTACTGCCATCTTTGAGCCGATTGTCAAGGTAATGTGGGACCCTCAACATCTCTCAAACCTATGGGCCTTCACGGCCTGTTACAGGGATAGCTTTACTTTTACTTTTATGGTCCGCCAGCCTCATACGTTGCAATGTCGTGCTGTGACGTGCACGAAAACCAAACTGGCCTGCGTTGAGCAAGCCTCTTTCTTCAATATGTTTTTGTAGTAATTTCAAAATTACTTTTTCGAATAGTTTTCCTGTCGTGGACAGGAGTCTGATCGGACGTAGATTTTGCGGGAATTTCGGGTCTTTACCGGGTTTAGGTAAAGTTATTACTTTTGCTTCCTTCCAAGTATTTGGAAAATGAGAGAGCCGAAGACAGTGATTAAATAAATGAGTTAGGTGAACCAGTGGTCGCCTTGGAAGTTGCCTTAGGCATTCATTTGCGATGCCGTCACTTCCACAGGCCTTTCTCAATTTCAAGGAATTTTATCAATTTTTGTACGTCACATGGTCTGATCCTTTGAGGGGGTTTGTTGTCTACGGTTTCGAGCAGAGCTTGAACTCTAGCCTCCACTCGCCGTTCATGGGTATCGTCGCACAGATTGTGCGGCGTGAACTGATTTTCCAAACAATCAGCAATTGCATTGGCTTTTTCGAATGGGTGAAATTTAATGCCTGCAGCACCATGAATAGCAGTTGGTGCCCTTGGTCTATCCCTCTTTAGGAGGGATTTCGCAATTACCCATATACCATGAGGTGTGACTTCAGCATTACCTGTTTTTGTTTCCCACCGTTCAAGTGCCTTTTTTTCGGGTCATTCGCCTGCTTGATTTTGTGACCCAATTTAGTGCCGTCTTACACGCTGGATCCCTGGCTTCTTGCCACAATTTTCGTAGCCTCTGCTTATGTTTTAACAAGCGACCTAGACCAGGAAGATCATTGTTTATGTCCGAAAGTGTAACTTTTCTTGTGGGCAACCTATATGCCGAAGCAATTGAGGCTGCAAAGTCGCGCGCCGCTTTATCGGCTTCTACCCCAGGCTTAATTTCTATTTCAGGTGATATTAGCTCAGAGGCGAGGCTTTGAAACCGCTCCCAATCTGTGAATTTTTCAATAGGTTCCAAAAGGTTGCTAATTTTAACATGATCCAGTATGTGGAATACTATTGGTAGGTGATCTGAATCCAAAATATCGGAGACGATGACATCTGACATCCTGATATTTTGGTAGACCACAATATCCAGCACGTCACCATTTCCCGTAGGGGAATAATGAGTGGGAGCACCTTCCAATTTTAATTAGTCTATCAATCATGCCCTGTAGCACAGTTTCTTCCTTAGCCATTAACACAAGGTCATCTGCATATTTCACAGTTTGAATAATTTGCCCTCCTAATTTGGAATCTCCGAGCCCATCCAGAGCTTCCTTGGTAAGGCATTCGCTGTACAAGTTGAACAGAACTGGTGATAAACAGCATCCTTGTCGAACTCCTCTTCCAATCTGCACACTTCTTGTCTCCCCTCTGTCCAGTCGTACTCTAACTTTCTGATCCATGCACAATTTGCTAATCAATCTTCTCTATTTCACATGCAGCTCAATTACAATTTTATAACTTTTCCTTGTATTGTATTTTTTCACTATTAAATGTATTTAAAAATATGCGACTACATTATTAATTTGAAGCAAGACACTGAAAACTTGTATAATATATGTCTTAAAAGTGTGTAGCTTTTGTTATGGTAATTATATAACTCAGCGAATACAAACTGTGAGGCTGAAGTCATCAGTGTTGTGTTAAGTGGTGTATTTTGACATTATTGATACTGAAACTTCAGGTTCTGCCATCAGTGAGTTAGTTCAAAGTAATTTTGAATTAGTTCTGAATTTGTTTGTTGTAAAGTATTAGCATGATTTGGACTTAAGATCATGTTTTTGAAAGAAATTGAAAGTCAGTTTTAGTAGGTCTCCCCGTGCTTGGACCACTTGGCTGAATAGGAACAAATTTGTCAGGTGCACATCAGCTGGCAAAGTATTAAGTGTACAGAACCCCAGAATACGCTTTGTACTTAGCAGGAGATCTATGTAGTAATGAGCCTATTTAAATTATTGAAAATCATTGGCTTAGTCTTGGAGTAAGCAGTTCGGACAGAGTTTTGAATTATTTTTTAAGTATATTCATAGAAGTATTGGGTAATGTGTATATAGTACTCGTAATACAACTTTCAGACCCAGGTCATAAAAAGAGTCAGTTTTGTTGAAAGGTGTGTTTTCTGGACAGTAAAGGCTTTTGTTTTCTCCCCCCCTTATCTTATTCATCTTTCCTTTTTCATCTTCCTCCTTCCTTTCTATTTTATCTCTGTTTGCTTCTGTTCATGTCCTTTTTCTTATCTTAATCATCACTGTTGCAAATCATCAGTTGTGCTTTCAAGCTTTGAAAGAGATACAGATCATGAGAGCATCCTTTTTATCTTTCATTATTTTTACAAATTTTGTGTTTTTGGACATTAACCGTCATCCTGTTTTTATTTAAAATACAGCGTTTCAAAAATTGGATTCTGCACCTGTCATCAGGTGGAACCTACTTAGTTGAGCCAAATTGATAGAGCTAGTCCCTATTTCCAGACACTTGCACCAACAGAAGGTAGGGTATATAAACCAAAGACATCAGCAGGAGTTAAGCATTAAAAACATGAAAATGCTCCACACGTATAAGGCGTAGCACCAGAGTACTATCAGAATATGTCATCACTAGAGAGATAAATTCCCTGTATGGTACCTACATAAAAACACAGTTTTCCCACCTAATGTACACTGAATGGAGTTGTAGTTTTTTCACTTCTGCTGCGATAGTGGGAGTGCAGATGGGAGAGATGTCCAGGCTGGGTTGACTGATCGAATGATCTGTCAGAGACGTGGGCAGATTCCTTCTGCTTTCTATATGTGGTGTTTGGTTCATTATTTTCATGCACTGAACATTACTTTTTCTTTCAGAAAGAAGATTTTGATTCAGAAGATGATAAATCTCCAGAAGAAAAGTATGTAGAGGAGATGTCTAAAGTTATTCCACAGGGCACAGACAAAACTCCAGAAGTTTTTGATTCAGCTTTGAAAGGGCTTTCAGCAAGGTTGGTGTTGTATTGCCATCATACTTTTTTTTTTTTTAGCCTGAAGTTTAGACGCAATATGACTGGAAGTGGCAATTGAATAGGTCAGAATAAAAAACAATACAGAGGTCATACATTTGCATTCATTATACTTCAAATGGTGAATCGATAAAATAAGCGGAAGTGATAATGCTTCGCTATATTGGCGTACTCTGCATAAGCAAATTATGCAATCTCATTTGCTGTTATCACTTTTTTCCTTTCTAGTAATATGAGCCAAAAGTGAATGCACTATATGGCTCCGGATTATTATGTTATGAAGGCAAGTGACTGGTGAGGTGCAAGATGCTATCACTGCCTGATGAACCTTGCTTCCGTTGTAACAGATATGAAGTATTTTCTCTTTTGCCTTCATATCTTCACTTTTATCTGTTGTAATAAATCATTCTCTACATCAACCATTTCATCTCTTCCTTCTCACTTTTATTCTACCTTCTGACCTACTTTAAGATATTTTCTTTCTTACTCTTGTTAGCCAATTTCAGTTTTAATTGTTTTAATTTACTGTGCTGAAGAAACTGAGTGCATTACAAGTAGGAAGATGTGACTCACTCCACTTATAACTGTTTCTTACTCATTTTCTTAAACTAACCATCAGGTATCCATCATTAGGTTTCATAACAATGATTATTTTGTAAGTGAGGCTCTCAGCCTCATGTCTGAACTACCATCCTGGAAGGCTCTAGGGGCCTTTTGTCTGGCGCCTGCCTTCAGTTTGTAAATTTCAGCCGCAGTTTTCTCCAGTTTCATTAAAAGTTCAATGTTGCTTCTTTGTTCTAATGATATATGACCCATGTTTTTAACAAACAGGCAGAACACTACTTCATTAAAACACTGCAGCCACAAAAAAATTAATTCTAGCAACTCTTTTAACTAAGACTGCTGAGTCATGTAGTCATGTGATCTAACACACACCAATTCACTCATCAGTGTTGCCAGTTGCTGCACAAAGTACATAATTAATTAATTCATCTCACCTCTTTCACATTAAAAAGACTTTGCAAAACAGCAGAAGTCAAGTCACAGGCAGCAAACAGTCTAAGGGCCACCAATTGGTAAGACTGTATTATAGTAAAAGAAGTATTTTGTTCAATGAATCCTCGATTAGTGGAGCCTGCCCACTAGTAAATATTACACAGCTCTGCAACCAAAAAAACGGCATAGGATATTTTTACTGTTTCTTATAGATTTTTACTCACTAAAACCGGAAATAATAGTAAAAAAAATCCATCACATCAATTTTTTTGCTAAACTCATATTTTTAGTTTAATTTTGCGTGAAATTTCTCTTCAACATGAAATCTTGTATCCTGTTGTTGATTCTAAAAGCCATATCCAATAATTATTTCTTACTTTAAAATAATATTTATAAGAGTGAATCAAAAAAATAATACAAATAGAAAATGGGTGGGATGGGGGGAGGCAGTGGAAGGGGTTAGTAGGGTGGGTTTGGCGGTGTGAGGAGCTCAGGCGATCATGTCCCAACATGTTTACTTTGTTTGTAGCGAAAGGTGAGGAATCTTACTAGCTCGGTTGAGCATGTTTGGACATGTTCTTTGGGGCAATAGGAATAAGTATAAACAAGCCTGCTGTCAGATTTGATCATGTCTCAACATGCTAAATAAGTTCAGGATCTTGGTTGATGTATAAGCCACTCAGTTTACATCCTGCATTCAAACGTGACTGTGCTTGTGTTTTAGCTCTATATTATGTCTGAAAGAGGTTGTGTTATTTCTCTGGACAACTTTTGTTTTATTTGTGGTGAATACATAGTTACAAGTCAACAAAGAAACAAGTGATTTTGTGAAGAAAGTGTATTTTGCTTATTTCAAATTGAAACTTGGGGATCAAGACAAACCTTGGGCTCCTCACAAGGTGTGCAGAAGGTGCGAGGAAGATCTTCATTTGTGGTTTAAGGGTAAGAAAAACTCATTTCGTTTTGGCATTCCT